AATTACTTAATTAAAGATGAACTAACATAATAAGACAACACAAAGCACAAAGAAGGAAACATCTTCCAATAACAATAACATGAGACACTGATGGTGGGACACAATCGGTGGGACACAAAAGAACAATATTCTTGAAGAAAATATAAAAATCCATAAAGAATGATAGAAAAATGAAACTTATTAACAGCATAAAGGCACTCACCAAACTTTCTGTCCTTTTCGCGCCCTTAATTGTGCCCTTTTTCTCCGACAAGGGTCCCCTCTGGATCAATGTCTTTTACGAACTAATTTGAAACAAGAAGTTCTGATTTTCCTTCGCTTTTCAGACTCTACACTGACATAGATTCCCTTCGATCACACCAAATCGATGGGTTCTGGATTGGGGTTTAAGACTAAGACCAAGAAGAGAAGGGGGTTTTTGCAGATCTGTTTTGGGTTTTCGTTTTTTGGGTTTTCGATTTTTTTTATTTTTCTTTTTTTGGTTGGGACGCGGGGACAAGCGCGAAAAAGTCCCGCACGACTACTGTACAAGTGGGCCCCACTGCACACGTGGTGTCCATGTGTGCAGAACATAAGGAAAAGTCCCGCGCGACTACTGTACATGTGGGCCCATACTGTGCACGTGGCGTCCACGTGTGCAGAAAATAAGCCACATCATCAAAAAAGGCCTCCACATTGGATTACTAACGGCACATAGTGGGCACGTCAATTTCTGGGTGCCACGTAGTGCATTCTGTAACGGTGCCGTGACGGCGCGTTAAAATGTTGGGTTTTTCACGGGTTTTGAAAACTTGAGGGTGTGAATAGGGAGGAAAATATTTGGAAGGTGTTGACCGTGGAAAACAATTAAGTGTAGGGTGCAAATAGGGGCTTTGGCCTATTTTAAAAAAATAATTACAATATATATTAAATAAAAAGTCTTATTTTAGTGATATTTAATTAGGGATAAATATGAAATTTTATTAATAAATTAAAATACCATAAATGATAATAAAAATATTAAAGTACCTTTAGTAAATCAATAAAAAAATATTCATTAAGGGTATTCAAATAATTTTATAGGAAGTCATAATATTTAAAATGCCAAGATTTTTTAATATTTGCTTTTATATACACCTTTTTATCATTAATTTGTATAGAAGAATGTAAAAATTAATATTAATTTTAGTATCATTGTTACATTGATAAATTTAATTAAATAATTAATAAATTAAAAGACAATATTATTCTTTCAATATAAATTTATAACAAAAAAATATATTTATTACAATTTTAATATGTACCCACCTAAATTTAAAAAATTCCTTTCATAATAATTAACGAGAAAATTAAGAAATATGTTAAAAAATTCTTAATTAATTAGATATATAATTTAATTAAATTTAAGAAGTAATTTATAAAGATTATTAACTACTAAAATCCTTCTTTTTAGCAACTAACTATCAGTAACATGAAATTACTTGTTGGTGATACAAATTTTCACTAAGAAGACTCATGTTACTAATACCGTTACAAAACATAATCCCTTAAATAATGAACTCAATTTTTAGTAACAAGGCGTATGTTGTTGAAAATGAAGCAACATGCCCTTTGTTGCTAATACCTATATAGCACCAATGCCCAAAAAAACCCTAGTTTTCCTTTCTTTTTAAAAAGTAAGGGAGCCGCACAAAAAAACAAAAGTGAGGGGGATAGTAGAACCAAAAAAAAAAAGAGAGAGAGAGAGAGAGAGAAGCTCTCGATTCTTTTCCCATCTAGAACCCCCTTCTCCCATCTAGAACCCTGTTTCTCCATTTTCTCCGATCATCAGTTTTCACCCCTTCCATCACCGATCACCATTCTCATCACTGGTTCCTCATTATTGATCTACTTGCCTTCGCCTAACAACAGTTGCAAGTTGTCTCCTTCGTCTCATAGCAGCCAAACAGCCCTTGGGTCTCTCTTTACCTCTCTCAATTGCCAGCTTCCTCAGTCTCCTGTCATCCTTGCTACTCGGGCCTCCATTTTCGACAAGGTTGCTTTTCAACCTGATTCTTTCTCCTTCTAGGTATACTCAAAACAGGGTTTTTTTGGGAAGGTAGTGAGGGAGAAGAATGAAGCCTGGTCCCATGTGTGGGATCCCTCCAATCAGATCTAGATCTACCTTTCTCCAGAAAGTTTCGCCAAGTTTGTTTTCTTTCAATGTTTTTCAGTGAATGTTTGATAGTCTATTGTTAAATTGTATGAATTTTGCTAGAAAATGAATGATAATCAAGCATGTTTGTTTTATTATTTGTTAAATTTTGATTGAAAATCTGCATGTGGATTGGAGTTTGGCGTAATTTCTTTGGCTGGAAATGAAATTTGTAGAGAACCCTAAAATCCTAATTATTGAACTTAAGTTTATGTTTTTACCCATTTCGATTAATGGATTTTGTTTATGATGGAAAGGAATAATTAAACTCATGATTCATGATTCATGATTCTTACATGAGATGCAAAAAATATAAAAGTTAAAAAAAGAAAAAAGAAAAAAGAAGAAGATGTAGGTAGATCCAGAAAACACGAAGAAGGTGTGCTGAATTTGGTAAGAAATTGAATTTTAATGGAGCCCTAAAAATCTACTAAGAAATTGAATTTAAAAAAAAAATTTTTTTTGAAGTATATGAATCAAGAAATGGGTGGGAGATGACAATTTGAAATTTCAGCAATTTTTACCATCATGGGATGTGTTCCTAAAAAGGGTATACAATTCTGATGGACAATTCCAGTAACCATTTTTACCAACATAAATCATGTTGGTGATAGTATAGTTTCAGCAACAAGGAGTATGTTGCTAAAAAGGGTTAAAATTTCCGATGGCCAACTCTGGTGAATTTTTTAGCAGCATAAATCATGTCGGTGAAACTTCATTTTCAGCAACAAAGGGTATGTTGCTGAAAAGGGTGCCATGAATTAGTAACATGAACCTTGTTGCTTATGTATTACCCACCACAGCTTCTCCAACAAAGGCATCAACAACATGGTTCATGTTGCTAAAGTACCTTCAGCAACATGGGATACACTTTCACCAACATGCTCCCATGTTGCTGAAAAATGGATTTTTAGTAGTGAAATATCTTATTTCATGGAGGAGTACATTTTTTGAATTCATGAATCATGATTGTGTTTTATTATTATTGGATCAAAACATGAATGAGGAATTTTTCTGAAGTAGTAGAGTCAAAGTAGAGAGTTAAAATTCCTACCAGATGAGTCCCACCCATCCCGTAGATACTATTCATTTAATTGAAAGTTTCAATTTTATTTTGAATTCAATTTTTTCTTGAGATCTTATGATAGTTCTATTTATACAACTCAAGTTTTAAACTTAAAACTTCTTACATAAAGATTTAAACTCTTAATTATTGAAACGTCTATTAGATAACAAGAATTCAAATCTTCACAATAGCCAAACTTATTAACTTATATCGTGCTTAGTTGAGGTAAGAGCTAAATTACCAAGCTATCTCTTTTCCTGAAGTTTTTATTTTCTTGTTTCTCAGAGAAGGGACTTCATGTAATCCTCCAGGCTTGGGAGACGTTGGTTTTCATCATAACTGTACAAAAAAGGGAGCATTCTTGCAAAGTTGAGAGAAGCATTTTTGAAAGAAGATGAAAATGGATTTGGAAAGAGGCATTCTTGGTTCAGCTGCTTCCAAGCCTTTGAAATCATTTGATTAACATGGTTCCGTGCCTCCTCCTCTCTAACCCCTTGATGTTCCTTGATGTAGAAATGCACATAAGATCCATCATGGCCTTCTTGATTCTCATCCTAAATTTTACCGACAAAAAATCAGTATGAGGTAGCTAACCCTTAATTGCATCTGTGGGAAAAGTGTGATTATAAATCAAACTAATGTATCTATCTTCCCAACAACCATGAGTTCGAGTTACATTCTATGTAAGTTGGTTGAGTTAAGGGATCGAAAAGAGTTGTTTGTTATTGTCCAATTAACCCCAAAATAAAATAAAACAATATATAAAATATATATATATATAGGAAAATGATTATTATAAACTCGATTCAATGCATTTTCTGATACTTGTCTCTTTTCAATTGTTAAAATATAATATAAGTATAATTAATTCAGTTAGTTCTTACATCTAATATGTATCATTGTATCTATAAATTTATTTACTTTTAATTTCATATCAAAAAATAATAAATTTTTAATGAGTATGTTGTGTACTATGTTAAATCAAAATATATATCAATTAGTGTGAACATCTTATTTTTACCTTAGCACTTCCTAAGTCATCCCAGAGTCGCAAAATAGTTGCCACGGATGATATTATGCCCGGATTATTGTCAATTACCTCTACATTTTCCTTTGTTAGACCTTGACCTA